ACTCAAGGGCTGTCTCTTATACACATCTAGATGTGTATAAGAGACAGATTCAATGGTGATTCAACGGGATTCAACGGGGATTCAACGGGATTCAATGGGGATTCAACGGGGATTCAACGGGATTCAACGGGACAACTTTTTTTTGGTTCACGTGCGTCCAGCGTCGTGTCCGAGGCCCAATGCACCCTCCCCGTTGAACAATATTCAACGGGGAGGGTCCGTTGTGCCATTCAACGGGAATTCAACGGGGCCCCGGGGGCTATTCAACGGGTACAACGGAGTTGAAACTTTCCCGTTGCCCGTTGAATAGACACATAGGCGTACGATATTCGATAACATCCTTGCTACAGTACAAGCACTAGAAATAATTGGGAAAGAAAAAAAGGACGTTGCTATCCTCATGTTGGACATGGAAAAGGCCTATGACAAAGTAGGTTGGGCGTTCATGAACACATTGTTAGTTCACATGGGGTTTGGTGACAGCTTTCGGATATGGGTTAAGGCAATGTACTCCAAAGCGACGACAACAGTCCTAGTAAACGGGCTGGAGTCTGAGGAATTCAGATTATCCCGCTCCCTGAGGCAAGGGTGCTCGTTAGCCCCCCTCATCTTCGTCCTTCAACTGGAGGTACTGCTAGCGAATATTAGGACTAATACTCAGATCTTAGGTCTTTGTGTGACCCTCACCTTCCACTGGAAGGGGGGGGGGCATAGCAGATGACCTGACAGTCGCTTGTAAGAACTCGGTAACAAGCTTCTCTCAGCTTCGTAGGATCTTAGATGATTACTGTTTTTTTATCAGAAGCCTCAATAAACTGGGACAAGTCAGTATTTTTCCTCCCCCCCCCCTTTGAGATATGTGTGGATTGGGGTCTTCGTCAGATTCCGGCCAACTCCTCTGACAGGTTTTTGGGTCTCCAAGTCTCCTTTTCGAACTGTGCCATAATGCAGGACAACTTGTTGACGGACAAGGTGGTAGCAAGGATCGCTGGTTGGGAACGAGGCACCTATCTCTCTCTACTTGGGAGAGCTTTGGTTCTCTCCACAGCAGCCTTCTCGCTCCTCTGGTTTCCTTTAACTATTCATGCGCTTGGAGATACAGCTTATAAGAAGATAAAGGCACCGAGAGCAAGATATGTGTGGAAGCCAGATGCAGTGGAGGACCAGTGCTTCCTGTCAAAAGTGGCTTGGGAGGCAGTGGCAACACCAAGGAAGAAAGGGGGATTGGGAATCCTTGACCCCATGCAGCAGAATGTAGCCCTCCTGGCTAAGTGGCCTATTAAAGCAATGACAGAGTCTGGGGTCAAGATCTGGAGGACGCTGGAGGAGCACATACTGGGGACGGAAAGGGACTTACATGACCACTCTAAAGTGTGGCTGTGCTTCTTGATACCAAGCTTCAGCAACCGCCGGCCTCAATCGAGGACCTGGAAAATTTTTATTGGCGCCTGGAGTAAACTCAGACCCACAAAGAGCTCCCCACCTGTGACAAAAGAGGAAATCTTGAACCAAGTGCTCTTTGAGAACCCGCTCATCCTCCATCAGGATGGGAGTCATTTCGTGGCCACGGAAGGAATGGGTAATTTCGGCTTGAGTTTGGTTAAGAAAGGAGTTCTGCAGCTCAGGGACATCTGGGATGAGACACATTCCAGTTTCCTGGACAACGCTCAAATTAGGAGGCTGCTCCATAGACTACGTAATGTTGCGGTCAACTACGCAGAGCTTCAGAAGGCCATTCCAGTTTCTTGGACTAAAACTTTGTAACCAGAAGTGGAACATCCGACAGGGACCTGGCTCAGGAACAAGGACCATCCTAACCAGGTAATGCAGGTCCTGGGTCTGGACCTGGTGTCAGGCCTCAGAGTCGATAAATGGAAACTCTCAGCTCAAGGACAAAGCGCTGGTCAGCTGACCCTGGTGGACGTCAATGCCCAGATCAACAACACGAGGGATATGCAGGAAGTCCGTGTACACACCCAAACAA